ACTCTAAGCACCTGAGAGAGAGTGGGCACCTCCCAGAACATTATATTGTGCCACGCCCAACAGAAATACTCCACTTGGATAACATTTACAATCAGCTCCTCAGTTGCTCATTCCACCACTGAGTTTACAATGACTTATGGGTAGAAAAGCCATACTAAGTAATTTACTACACTGCACAGCCGTATTTGACCGAGTCCAAGTTCCAGGCCCCCATGGTCACCGGGACCAATTTCCTCACATTTTAGTGTAGCAAGATATGGTGACTACCCCTCCCCCATAGCTAAAACTTTTTCTTCCGAATCTCTCCGTCAAGGTATTAACTTCCTCACTCGGGACTAGCAAAAAGGAGAAACCGAGACAACCGGAGTCCCGGGAAGCCATTCCACCAGTTCTGTCTAATTCCCAAACTAACCCCGATCTGATAGATCTAGAAGGTGGCTCGTTAACTTAGGGGTATAACTCTCGCTTGGAGTGCGAGAGGTCCCGGAATCCCCCAAATACCCCAGGACTTCCGAACCAGGGGATTGCAGCCAGCTGGTAAGTGTTTAAATGTTTGTTGTTTGTTTAAGTTCTTTGTGTAATACCTGGAGCCCATTTTCTGTAAAGATGACTTTAGCCTAAGGGGGACACTCGAGCAGGCTGTCAGCCAGAGGATCTGGGAAACGTCCCAGAACCTCTTCAAGAAAAGAGGAAGTGGAAGCCCTCCAATCTGGAATTCTGAATTGGTATAGAAGCGAAGCCGGTTGCTCCCGCAGCTCAGCATGAAACCGTCATCCAGCTTTCAGTTTTGCTTCCAGTTTGTGGGAAGCATTCTTTGTTCGTCCTTTTGTGTGTCTATTTGTTGTTTGTCAGTGTTTGTGATTTGGTGGACAGACGAAATGGGACAGACTATGACGACTCCCCCTTCCCTTTTGACTGGTAACTTTAAAGAAGTTAAGCAAAGAGCACAGAATTTAAATGTGGAAAGAAAAAAAAAAAGAAAAAATTTGTAACATTGTGTAGCTCAGAATAGCCCACATTCAACATGGGATAGCCAGCCGAAGGAATGTTCCATCTTCAAATTATTTTAAGAGTGAAAGAAATTGTGTTCCGGTCCAGCTGGGGAGACCCAGATCAGAGGTCATATATTATCACATAGCAAGATTTAGTGGAAAATACACCTCCCTGGTTAAAGCCATTGCTACCTCTTTCTTTTCCTAAGCAGGCTCCTAAACCGGTCCTGGCAGTGCAACCTTATACTGCCCGGAAGAAGGAACCTGAAATTAAACCTTCAGCATCGACCCACTCAGTATTCCAGGGGGGGACAGAGGAAGAGCTCCTTTTCCCCCCACCTTACCAAACCCCTTCAGCAGGTATTGCAGCTGCAGAGAGTGCGTTGCCCCAAGCTCAGGATTTAGCTACTCATCAGCATACCTGAGAGGATTGTCAACAAACTCCTCCAGCTTTTGTTCACCACTGAGGAATGTGAAAAAAATCCAGATGGAAGCCCAGAAAACTGTTTTGGGAGATAATAAGCTCTGTATAAGCTCTCTATAGAAACCGGGGGAGCTCTGGTAGCATAGTGGCTAAGACACTTGCCTGCTAACCAGACGGCTGGCGGTTCAACCCACCAGCCACTCATTGGAAGGAAGGTTGGGCAATCCTACTTCCGTAATGATACTGCCTCAGAAACCCAAGGAGGGGTCGCTATGAGTCGGGGCTGACTCCACGGCACATAACAACAACTTAGAAACCAGGGAGTTCAAGCTGGTGTTAACATGATTTTAAATGAAACCTTTAACAAGAGGATGCATGAGAGGTACAATTGAACATACTGTGTCTCTTCTCGAATCTTTTAGTTTTAACTTAAATCTTTAAAGTATAATACACAACAAAAAGTTTTATAAAGTTTAAAATTTTACTTTGAAATATTAGAAAACTAGAATATTTGTTTCTAAGTCATTTTGATATATTAACTAAATATGTATACGTGTGTGTGCGTGCACTGATGTATTAGCTGAGTGAATAGTAGAAACCTCTGAGTATCTTGGAAGCAGATTGTTCCTTCTCAGCTTTACCTTGTTTTCCATCTCGTTAGAGTCCATTCTAGTTCTTACTCCTTCCAAAGATTATGAGCACTGCTAAGACAAGCCTGGGATCTCCTGGACTGGGGGTGCCCTGTGGCTGAGCCAGAGTTCTAGCTAACAAAATCAGCCGAGTACACCTGGAGTTCAGGGGCAGGGATGCCGTGAACTAGTGTTCAGTCACTTGGCACTTTCGTGGGCACCGTTGATAGCACTGTTTTGTTTTAATAACTGGAAGCACTTAATGATTATTTTACTTGTTTAATTTCACCCAAAAAATACTGAAAGTCGGGGAAGTAAAGTCTATTTCTCATTTTTTCTAGAACATAAAACTGTTTGGGAAAAAAAAAAAAAAAAACATATATATAACCAGATTACCTAATGAACCATGCTTCTAAGCTCTCTGTAAAGTATATTCTTTTAGTCAGGATTTGTTAAAATAATTTACAAACTTATAATATTGGGCCTTGTAGAGACTTAAGAACACCAGACTTTGTAAAAGAAAAGAAAGGGCCTAAGAAATGAAATTTTAAATTCTTAAATGGTTACTTTCTTTAGTGTTACTTGTAAGTAATTAATCCAGAAGCTAGAGCTTTTAGTTACGCCCAGCCAAAGGCCGAGGCCATTTACATAGAATGAGATAGTAATCAAAGTGAAAAGATGAACCTGGAATATCTTTAAAAGAATTATGTGTTTAGGATTATGTGTTTATCTAAATGTACTCCATAGAGCTTTTGAGCCAATTAAGAAAATCGTAATTATTAAAATATAGCATTTTGGGGTAGTGAACACACATAAAGTAACTTAGTCTAATTCAAACTACTGAACGAAACCACCTGAAGAACTGGGTTAAAAGTTTTAGCATGGCCTGAAAAGCAAGAGGGAATGTGAAATAATTGGTACTAAGTTTGTTGTTTTTTTTTTCCAGAGAGGGGGAGGCAAGAGTAGTTTTGTCTTAGAGCAGAATATCTAGTCATCCCAGAACATAAAAGATAGTTAAAGTTAAATCTGAAAAATGTGTATTAAGTTATAGAAAAGTTGAGAGAGAGTAAACTTTATTTACCTCAGTGTTAATACCCGCAAATAGTAAGTGTAAAGAAACCATGAAGTACATTGAAACTTTAATAACTTTATATCAGTTTTAGTAAATTTATTCATAAGATGGAAAAAAAAAAGAATGGTGAATCTTTCACTGCAAAATGTTACATTAATGATATACTTTCTATTAAAGTAACAGTAAAATCATAGTACTTAAGAGGACTTAAGTGGTATGAACTAAAAAAAAAACAAAACCTATGTCATAACAGGTTTCTAGCAGTAATGAGTTCAAGTAAATGTTAACTTTTACATGAAACATTTAGCCAGTAGAAATGAAAATTGGAAAAGATTATAAATAGATCATTACAAATGATTTCTCTGCATAAATGAATTATATGATTAAAAGTGTGTAAGTCCGCCTTCAGCCAATACTTAATTGGATATAATAGAAGGGGAAATAGAATTTGCCCGGAAGAAACACAAACTTTTGTTTTAAACCCTGTAGAACCCATATAGAAACTTAAGTAGAAAACCTGAGCCCCACCCAGTACTGCTGAGAGAAGGGAAGATTTACATGTGAAGAGAAGACCTGAAGAGGAAAAAAAATGACTGTTTAACTTTTTGCATTTCAAGCAAGCAGATAAGCTTTGGGTCCATCAAAGCAGAAAAGTCATGGTCCATGAGAAAAAAACCCTCCCAGAACTGAAAGTTAAAGGAAACCAGTGAATAGTAAACTTGTATGTTACTTGCTTGTAACCACCTAGATCCACCTGAGTAGAAATGGGGGAAGTGCAGCACAGAAAAAAAACGAGCTGAATTTAATACTCTTTAACCTAAGACCAGGATGCTAAAGAAGCAGTCTGCAGGGATTGTGCTGTGGGGCACTATCCTCTTTGTGGCCTGGAATGCCCTGCTCCGTCTCTTCTTCTGGACACGCCCAGCACCTGGCAGGCCTCCCTCAGACAGTTCTCTTGATGATGACCCCGCCAGCCTCACCCATGAGGTGATCCGCCTAGCCCAGGACACTGAAGTGGAGTTGGAACGTCAGCAGGGATTGTTGCAGCAGGTTAGGGAGCACCATGCTCAGTGGAGGCAGCGGTTGAGAGTGCCCACTGTGGGCCCCCTGCCCCACCGCATGGGCCTGTACCCCATCATTGTCAACCAGGACTGTGGGCATGAGGAGACAGCCCAGGTCATTGCCTCCTATAGCAGCGCCATCACGCACACCCTGCAACCTGACCTGAGCAACGTTACTGTGTCGCCCGACCACCACAAATTCCAGAGCAATTATAAAATTACGCAGCATTACTGCTGGACTCTGGGCCAAATCTTCCACAGGTTCAAATTCTCAGCAGCTGTGGTCGTCGAAGATGACCTGGAGGTAGCACCAGATTTCTTTGAGTACTTTCAGGCCACCTACCCAATGCTGAGGGCTGACCCCTCACTCTGGTGTGTGTCTGCCTGGAATAACAATAACAAAGAACAGATGGTGGACTCTAACAAACCTGAACTTCTCTACCGCACAGACTTTTTCCCTAGCCTGGGCTGGCTACTCTTGGCTAAGCTCTGGGATGAATTGGAGCCCAAGTGGCCCAAGGCCTTCTGGGATGATTGGATACGCAGGCCAGAGCAACGACAGGGACAGGCCTGTGTGCAGCCTGAAATCTCAAGAACGATAACCTTTAGCCGCAAAGGGTGTCAGCCATGAGCAGTTCTTTGACCAACACCTCAAGTTCATCAAGTTAAACCAGCACTTTGTGCACTTCACCCAGCTGGACCTGTCCTACCTGCGTGGGGAAAGCCCAGGAGCTGGAGATAAGAGGAAGGGCTAGCAGGTCTGAAGTGCAATGAATTGTGAGCCTACGAGCATTGAAATAGTCCCTGAGGACTGAAGATGTGACAGAAGGTGCTAGCTGGTCTGAAGTGAAGGGAAGAATGTAACTCCCATGACCTAGCTGGGATAGCTAGAGTCGAGCTGACCAGAACCTGACCAAATGGAGAAGAAGATAATTGACACAGATGGTGTTAAGTTGCTGCAATTTAATAGCTTGTACTGAGCTGGACTTTGCTTGTTTATGGATCCACATGCCTGAAGTTTCCAAGCAGAACAGAAGATTCTCCAGAGAAAAAGGATCACACTTCCTCAGAGTACTGGCCTGATAGGGATGGGCAAATTAGAAATTAACTAATTAAAATGGGGGGAGATAAAAGCATGAAGTAGCTGGCTTACACATTTCCATAGGTGTGGTTATTCTTAAACTGATGGTGAAAGGGATGTAAATTTTTTAAGTATAAGAGAAATAATAGCTAGAAAAACCAGGGGGTAGCCTGCAGTGTAGTAAATTACTTAGTGTAACTTTACCACCCATAAGTCTTTATAAACTCCAAAGTGAAATTTTCTATAAGCAACTGAGGAACTCTTGATTATTAAAATTGTCCGCCTGGAGAAAATTTCTGTTAGGAGTAGCGCAAAACAATGTTCTGAGAAGTGTCTACTCTCTCAGGTGCTTAGAGTTCTGATGCTGTAATTAACTAGTTTTACCACCCTTCTGAGCTCAAAAAGAAGCCTCATAGAAGCAGAACTCTCTCTACTTAAAGGAAACTTACTGCTGAAAGAGACACATGCCCCCGAAAGAAAATGTGCCCAAAACCAAAGATAGCATAAAAATTAGTTTAATTCCTCTCCTTAACTAACATTTCTGTTGTCTGCTCTCGCAAAACCAGTCATTATGAGACTAGTTTTACTGATGGTTAGTCCTTGTGTTTTAAACAGATTAGTCAACTTTGTAAAAGATCAAATTAATACTGTGTAACTTATGGTCCTGAGCCACCAATATCAGTCTTTATCTCCTGTAATACAAGAGAATGATTCCTCTTATGCATAACAAAAAAGGGGGAAATGTGAGGCCTGAGTCCTAATAGCCTTCAGGGAAATCTTTAACCAGAAGCCTTTTGGTATTGGGAATTCTAACAAGTCTTTTAATGTTGGGGATTCTAAACACTCCCCATGCCTCAGGGCTTTTATCTACTCTCCGGACTCAGCAGGTATCAGAGATTTCCTCCGGATTCAGCACGTATCAGAGATTTACCTGGCTCCTGAAGTATCCCACGTATCAGGGCTCTGCATCCCCCCTAGATAATAATTCCCTAAGTGGACTTTGGAGCTGGGGGATTCCAACACGTCCCCCAACATCTCAGATCCCTGCCCTATACCCCTTAGCAACAACCAATCATCTGTACCCTTTTGCCCTGGTGCTACTCCACCCTATATTTTCCTATACAAATGTGATAGTAACGGAGCACGAGGTCTTTTGCTCAAGCCACTGGGTCGGTGAGAGCAGGGACCCTAGCTGGAGCTAGCTAATAAACTCTCCTTCTTGCACTTGCATTGTCGTGTGTTGGCAAATTCCTCGCGCCGAACAACTCCTTCATTACCTGGGCCCAACACCATTCACCTCTCTTCAGGGGTGAGTAAGGTAGTTAATAACATATTAATGGCAGCCCAATTAGGACAATGAACTGAAAATAGGGAGGTTATTAAGGTTTCTACCCGTTTTGGATTTTCCCTGTAAGTGGGCATCGTATTTTTCCAATTTAGTAAATCAGCCATGGTGAATGGCACGTGAGTCCAAACAAAACCTCCAGGATTTCCTTCATGATCTAAATTGGCTGGAACCTGTTGTAATGGATATTGCCCTGATGGGTCTGGCTTATACCCCTGGCCAAAATTTACACCACTCTGAGTGTGTGCTGGGGAGACCATCTCCTGAGGGATACCCATTTTCTGAGTGGCTTCTGGGGTGCTATCAGGTAAAGGGGGGATATAACACCACTGGAGTTTTAAGGGATTCAGAATTCAAAATTCTTTTAGACTTAGGTGGTGGAGTCATAGGTGAATTGTTTTTTGACTCCAGGAGGTATGGTGGAGGAGCAGATGGGAGAGGAATGGACTCAGGGTAAGGGTCTTCAGAGTCCTGAAGGACACCTTTAAAATCCACTTTCCCTTTAGGTCATACAACCATCACCCCACACTGTTTCTGTAAACCCTTGTTTTGAAACAGGGCCATGAAAAGCTCCAAATAGATCAATTCTTCCCATTTTTGATCCTTCTTGAAAAATAGATCTAATTGCATAATGATATCATAGTTTAGACTCCCATTCTCTGGCCATCTATCCCCAGACTCAAGTTGGTATTGTGGCCAGACAGTGTTACAGAAAAATACGTTTTTTTTTTTTTCTCTTTATACGCTCAAAGCCAAAATGAGCCCGGTTTTTCAGAATACAACTAAGGGGGCTACATTCTGGTACAGAGCTTTTGTTACCCATTTCCAGTCACACTTACATCCACTCAAGACTGTTGCACTGGTGGCACGCACACACACACTCTCTTTCTCACACAAACAAATCAAGCAGAGCCAGACCAGAATTCAAAGTAAAGGATTCCTAAGAAACACGTGGGCTGCAGAGAGATTATGATTAAAAGACACCTGGGTCGCCACTTAAAATTTTATTATTTACCCACACTCAAACCAAACCAAAATCAGACCAGACTAAAAGGCACCTGGGTCACCATGCACCCACACTCTCATCCACACATAACAGATTAAGGAAAAGGATCCCCAAGAAATAAGTGGGCTCCAGTAAACCCACACTCAAACCAAACCAAAACCAGATCTGATCAGAACGATGATGCTTTAGCTATGGAGGTGATCTTAATTTCAAGTTACCCTTAAGGACCAAAATTTCAACCTCCCTATAAGCTTAAAGCTAGCTTAAGAGTGCTTCAGCCATGAAGGTGTGTTATTAAGGTTACCAACCAAAATTTCAACCTTCCAATTAGCTAGAAGCCAAACCAGACAAGAGTATAGATTATTAAGAGTGCTTTAGTTGTGGAATTATCTTAATTAGGCTTATTAGCCAAAATTTCAACTTCCCAAGCAACTAGAAGCCAGACCAGAATTTAATCTATACTCACCAGTAGACATCTTTAAACCCAGAAAAATTTTCTCTTCTCTTGAAAGTGCCTAGAGGCAGAGGATGGTCACAGACCCAGCACCCCTCTCCTACCTTCAGACAAAACAGTGTCTGAGTGCGCACAAGGGCCATCAGGAGTCCGTTCCGCTTCCACTGTCTGAGGGTTCTCGTGCTCCAGGCAGAGGGCCAGAGACCCTCGGTCCCATCTGGGGTGCCAAATTGTTATTATACCAAACGCAGGTCCCTGCCTGGTGTGCAGTCAGGCCAAAACAATTACACACCAAGATTGAGAGGAGAGAAAATTATTTATTGCAAAGCAGTAGTGCAAGGAGTTAGGGGTAGTTTGTACCCAGATCTAAACTCCCCCAGATGCTATGAAACACAGTTTTTGTAGGTTTCAAGAGAGGGGGTTGTGCATATTCACAAAAGGTTGAGGAATTTGGGGCATGAACGTGAAATGAGTCACCAGTTTCTTGTTTCTTGTGATCAGCTGATAGGGGCTTGGGCAGAGGGGAGAGGATCAGCAATTAACTTTTGTTCCCTTATGTCTGTGGGCCAGAGTTAATTTACAAGTTGTTTCTAAAATACTTTTAGCAAGTCTATCATCTGCAGAAGGGAATGTTTCCATTCAGTTCTTTAAGGAACTGAAGACTCATCTGTCCGGGTGGGAAAATAGTTGGGTGTAATTTAGTTTACTTATCAGGTGCCAGGGTGAGGGAAATAGTTTTTACTTTACTCAGTTTCATTAACACCAAACACTAGACTATACAGATAAACACATAAACACCTGAGATGATCAGATGGGGTCAGTGAATAGAAGTACACTCTAGACCAAGGATAGATTCAGCTGAGGCTAATCTTGCACAGACACCAGTGATACAAAATACCTGCAGTCCTTACAGGAACAATAGAAGACAGACACAGAGTAATCCCTCAGAGACATCCCTACACTATGGGAGAGAGATCCATCCAGTTACTAGGGAACACCAGACTCAATTGGCACAATAAAATTCATAAAAGCATTGCTCCACATCCTACATTGGTGAGTAGTGACTGGGGTCTTAAAAGCTTTCAAGCGGCCATCTAAGATGCAGCTAATGGTCTCCTAGCACAGAAGTGAAGAAGAACGAAAAAAAAGGGGGAGCATTTAGAAGCAACCAGCCCTAGGACACAATGGACCTCGAGACCAGAACTAGATGGTGCCTGGCTACTGATGCCAAACACTCAGGAAAGGATCAAATCTGGAGATCCCAGATAGAGTGGGAGGGAAAAGGTGGAACAAAATTCCAAAATCTCAATAATGATCAGAATCACTGGTCAGATGAAATCTGGTGAGATTCCCAGTACTATGGCACTGGAATACATTCTGAGCCTGGAATAAAACTCACCCCCAGGGGCGGGCTCTCAGCCCAATAGTTAACAAGATGTACACCCACACCACTCAACCCATGATGCCACATCCACACATTCAATGGTAATACATCCCATAGAGCAATAGACTATGGGACACCAGAGGACCAACATTCAAACTGAGGAAATGCAGGACTAATAGGAGCGCATAAATATGAGAGTCATAGGGGGAAGGTCACAGGGTAGGGAGGGGAGGTGACTGGGTTAGGGTTGGACAAGGCGAATGAGAAATGAAACTAATTGTACGCATTATGTTGAATGTAAAACAAGCTTTTAAAATTAAAAAAAAAAATAGTAATCAGCAAATTTCTATAGAAATTTTTGATCAGAAGTGAGGATTGTGAAGGACCTCAAAAGACCTAAGTGCTTGGCATAGGAGAGGCTTCTGCCAAAGATACAGGATGGACAACATTTTTGCTGTTTACTGCTTGTTCTGAGCTGACTTTCA